CACTTTGGGATTCTTAATTCGTACCGGTACGATTTTGGAACTCTAGATTTAGGTAAAAAAAATTTATTCCAGAACTATGGCAAAGTGGTCTCTAGATGAACTAGAAAGAGCTTTAACGGTGTAAAGACAAGGAATTTGTGGTTTAAATGAATGTAGTAGAAGGTACATTAAAGAGAAACTTAGAAAATAAAAATATTGTTGCAAACGATAATGTTATTCATCGTGGACGTCTCACAACACTAGGGAAAGACTTCGAAGACTCTATAGCTGCTTATGTTCTACGAATGGAGTCGTTGCTTTTCGGTGTTACAACTGAAGACGTTAGAAGACTTGCATTTGATTTTGCTCAAAAGCACCGTATTAAACACAAGTTTAATGCAGAGGCACAAATGGCAGGAAAAAAATGGTACTACGGATTTATGAAATGACATCCCCAAATTTCTCTTCGACAACCAGAAGCAACTTCAATGGCCAGAGCTAGAGGTTTTAACAAGGAAAATGTAATGGGATTTTTTACATTAATTGAAAAATTAGTGGACAAACATAACATTAAACCGGAAACAATTTTTAACGTTGATGAAAGTGGCTTTAGCACAGTACAAAAAAAGCCACAAAAAATTCTATCTCAAAAAGGTAAACACCAAGTCGGTACCATCTCAAGTGGTGAACGAGGAGTCAATACGACTATTGTTTGTTGCGTAAGTGCAGCTGGTGTTTATATACCACCAATTATTATTTTTAAAAGAAAGAGGCATACTCCTGAACTAGCCAATGGTGCACCACTTGGTAGTTTAGCTGAAATTTCTGAAACCGGCTACATTAATTCAGAGTTGTTCGTGAAATGGTTACAGCATTTCATTTCTTACATCAAACCAGATCAAGAGCATAAAATATTGTTACTTCTGGATGGGCATACTACGCATTCCAAAAATATGGTACAATTACCTGGTCATACAACACACAGACTTCAACTTCTGGATGTGTGTTTTTTTAAACCTGTAAATTAATTTTTTATTCAGGCCGCTGAAACTTGGTTGAGGGCTAATCGTGGACGAACAATAAGCCAGTTTCAAATGTCACAACTTCTTGCCGAAGCGTATGGAAAATCAGCAACCGTAGCTACTGCTGAAAAATGCTTTAAAAGTACAGGATGCTGGCCAGTTGATCGAAGTGTGTTTGGGGATGACGTGTTCGCAGCTTCAACATATTTATTACCACAACAGGTACCGATACCAAACCCCGATGTATCTGCCATAGATGACACTGTTGAAACCCCAAATACTTCCATTGTAGTATTATTATTGCGTCCCCAGAGAATTTAAACTTTATTCTACCATCAACATCTAAAGATTTAACACCACCCCAACCAGTTATTTCTACAAAGGTGCGCAGCAAGTGTAGAATTAACTTCAACTCCTTATTAAGACCAATTAGAAGAAGCCAAAGAAAATAAAGCTCAAAAAGCTGCAGCTAAAATAAAAAGAGCTTTAAATGACAAGAGTGGGCAGAGTAAACCCAAGAAAAAACGCAAGTCTGTTATATTAAAAACCAGAACTTTCTACAGGAGTTAATTTACTCTCTCTTCAAGAAAGAAGGGAACAAAGGCAAAGAATAGCAGCGTTAAGAACCACAATAATTTTTTCAGACAATGAAGACTCCTCCGAAGACAATTCTGAGGACACCTGGTGCCGGTATTGTTCGGAACCATATTCTAGGTCTAAGTCAAGAGAAAAGTGGTTTCAGTGTATGTATTAACATTAAATGTGAAAACATATATATGTGGAACTATGCAGTTAAATTACTAACCTTTTATTTTTAGAACATGTCCTTATGTTTCAAAACCATTTTAGAATATTTTTTACTTTTTTATACGTGTTTTCATTAAAACTTATTTTATGCGTTAGGTCATTTAATTTCTTAGGTACGATTTAGGAGACAGATCGGTACGATTTAGGAACTAAATTCAAGGAAATATTAAATAAAACGTCAAAAGTGGTACGACAACGGCAACCTTCCCCTACTTGTTCAAAATTAAAAAAAAGGAAAAAGCTCTAAAAAGCCCACATTAATAAGAAAAGCTGTTGAAGATGTGCAAACTAACATGGTGTAAATTCCCAATAAACTAGTAAAAAAAAAAACAGCACCTCAAACAGGTATGAACGGTGTTTCAAAGACTCTGGCGAGTGAAATTCAAAACATATTTTTTTAGGTTTGTCGCTACGAACTAGCTATAAAGTATTGAAAACATTTCTAATAATGCATCCCCTATAAAGTTTCGGTACTGCAACAATCATTTTACCTTAATTTTGTTAAACCTACCTATGGAATATTACAGATCGCTCAATTCAAAATCGTTTGTGTGACGTTTATAAACTGGAGCACCTATATTAAATAAAATACAAAATATAACCGAGGAAAAACTGCATAATGAATTCAAAAAAGAACGATTAATGCTTACACTAAAGCTGGTGGTAAAGATTTTGAACAGATAGGTACTGTGAATTAGTATCGTTTGTGCACCACCCATTACTACTGAATATCCTTTTAAATAAAATAGTTGTCAATATGTATGCCTTTATAATTTAAAGTGAGAGTTGTAAGGTAAAACAAATATGTGCTTGTTACATTAATAATATTAATATTTTTTTGTATACATATAAGCCATAAGTAACATAATGTATTTTGTAAATGGTTTAAACCCTGAAACAAATAAATAATAGAACAAACTTAAAAAAATTATTTGTTTATTACTTCTCATTGCCCAGGTACAATTCCAGTAAGTTTTAAATTTTTTAAAGTTTCAGATGTGGCTAAATATCTTAGAGTCAATCTAAAGTAAATAATTTTTAATTTTATTCATATTTTAATTCATAACATTTTTTGTCCATAACTTTCTTGCGCCCTGTTCTGGTAAAGGTTTTTTCTGTAAAAGTGGCAATACGAACCATATTTTAGTTAATTATTCTTTTCGTTAAATACAAACTAAATAAAAATAGCCCAGTTTTTAAGGTTATGTTAATTATATCATAATTTTAAAAATTAGATTATTGCTTATTGCATTTGACTAAATCTAATTAAAATATCGAATTCTAACATTAAAATACAATAATGTAAAGCACCTCTAATTAATATTATGATTTTGTGTTTGTAATTCTAACAGTTACCTAACTGAATTTTGTTCTGTAAGTTGCAGACCATAAAAAAGAACCCAGTCAACCAGGACACGTTACCTAATGTGTAATACACGTGGATATTAAGTTACTTTTTAACGTAGTTTAAATTTACCCAAATACAACGTATTAGCAACTTTAATATCTTCAATCAAATTTTACTAGACCACGTTACCTAATGTGTAATGCACGTGGATATTGAGTTACTTTTTAACGTAGTTAAAATTAACGCAAATATAACGTGTAAGGAACGTTTAGTAACTACTGTCAAATTTTATTTTATTTAATATCGTCAATTCGAAGTTTAGTTTGATACAAAGCAAAACAGCACTATTTTGATTTTGTACCTGTAAATTTATTAATAGTATAATATATAAATAATAGTTTATTGTACCTATAACAAAGACAAAAATATTTTTGTTAATACATATGCCGTACAATATGTAAATAAATAAAGCTATTGATATTACTTATAGATCTTCAAAAACCTATTCAATAAATAAATTCAAATTTCGCGCGAAACTTGATTGGCAATTGACATTTGACACGATTTGTCATTTAGTCAAACAAAATGGCCTCCTTCCTCATTCTCCTTCTTGGATGTTGAACGTTAAGTTATGGTGTCGTTTGCGTTGGCTGGTTTCAATCGTTCCAATCTAGTGGTTATTCAATGTGTTCGACCTTTGACCGTTTGACCGTTTGATATAAGCCCCGGTTCATTAATTAAGCCATTTTACAGCTTTAGGGGAATCTTATTTTAAAAAATTTCATTGAGAAACCGATAAACTAAGAATCGATTATTTAAAAAGAATAAATCAATGATTAAAAATATCCTAATATTACCATTTAACCTAAAAAAGAAAAAAAAAAGGAACAAAAACTATGTAGATAAATTAATAAATGTTCTAAATGTATTTAGTCGAGGATCCCATCCGAAACAGTTGTACCTTCCTCAAATATTGAATAGTAGGTATTTATCTTATAACTTGCACACCTTCATCCGTTCTTGCCATAATTTTACCATTTTGTGTCCAAACCCTTGAATTTCCATATTTCTGACGAGCTTCTTTGAAGTCATTATATTGTTGTTGAGTGAGATCTTCATTAACATATATCCCTGTTTTGTTTAGATTTTTCTTAGATTTATTTTTATGTATGTAACAAACTTTACAATAATAGATCTTGGTTTTTCGTTTTTCTTTGATTTACCCAGCCTGTATATCTCATTAATATCTCTTTGTTCACATTTTACTTTCATACCTTGATTAATTAGTTTTAAAATTTTATCAAGTAAATATTCATCTTCGTCGTATGATACCCCTTCGAATTTTAACGTATTTTTCCTTTGCATTAAATCTAATTGCTCAACTTTCTTTTCATTCGCTAAGAGTTTTGTTTCTTGTTCATGAATTTTTTCTGTTAATATATCCAAATTACCTTCACTTTTATTTAATTTATTTTGAAACTTTTCCAATCTTTTTTCTATCTTATCGAAAAGTTCATTATTAATATTTCTCATCATGCTCTCCAATTGGACTGGATCCACAACTAATGGCTCGGATTGTGACAAAGCTCGGCTCTGAGGCATAATTCAAATTTCCTCGTAAATAACTACACTTTCCTGGATTTTTCTTTATTTATTGAAAACTGTTCACTTACAGTATGTAGTACACCAATTTCCAGATATTTTTACACGCAATTTCCCACTTTAAATTAACAATTTTCGGGAGCTTAACAAACACACGTGTTTACAATCGAGCGACCATCTTGTTTAATACACATTTTATAGATATAAAATACTTCTTTCTTTCTTCTATACTACCTATAGGCATGTATTCTGTAATAGAATTTAAACACGAAGCAGATGGAGGTGTACTCTCTATAGTAAATACACCTTGGTTGACTCCTAGAAAGACTGAAGTGTATTGGCCTCCTATAAAAGACAACCTTCAGTTCAACAAGGTACTTAGGAAAATAGAACCAGAAGTTAATGAAAACTGGCAAATTTATGGGGTTCATAAAATTTTTTATTCTACAGGTATAATGATAATAATTAAGCTTTTTAAAATATGTGCCATAAATAGTTTTAGCAAATACAAAAATATGAGACAAAAATTGAATTCTCATGTGTCAGTTGTTCTTGCTGGTAGTAGTATGAGTTAAAATAACACTAAAATAAGTTAATTTTATCCCATACTAAGCCGTCCTAAATTTTTGCTGTACATTTTTAGATGATTTTCAAAAGGCTACAAAAAACTAAAAAGCTGAAATTACATCTGACTTGCAAACAGATCTGGAGGATCATGCTGATATCAGACCTAGAAGAAAAATCATAAAAAGAAAATTTAGTTCCGATGAAAGTGACAGTGACAAACAGGCTCGGGAACAGGTTTTATTATCTAAGGCAGACAAAAAGTTGAAGCAACGTTTACCACGGCCTCCATCTGTGAACATTAATATTCCTTCAAATGCAAGAGGTTAGTTATTCTTAGATTTACATTAATAGTATTGTTTTGAATAAAAACACTTGTTTAAGAATTTTAAACCTAAAATTATTATTTTGTACAAATGTTTCTAACCCTCTACCGCATAGTCATCCATATATGGATTTAAATTTTTTATATATTTTTCTTTATTATCAAGGTATATAAGTGACTCTAAATATTACTACTACAAATTTGTTTAATTTTCATACTGCTCTTATTTTTTTCCCATGTGGCAACAGTGTATTTAAAGAAGTATGGGCCATTGTCTTACTGTGTGCTAGTAAAGCGTGCTGTGCAATAATAGGCGTAAGTTTATCTGCAAACATCCACAAATATAAGGTAAATAATTGTAAAATAAATTGTTTTTTAGAATATTTGGTGTCTAATTTGTCTAGTAAATATGTTATTTTATAATTACCAACACAAGTTTACTCATAAAACATAATTTGAAAAGTATCCATATATGGCTTCGTATGCATCAGATGAAATATATGCATTTTATGTATAAGTCAAATATGGCTTCATATGCACATTATTTAAAATAGATTTATTATTTTAGGTATGGATCCCAGGCGTTTTTATGGCAATTCTCGGCACGTCAGTACAATTCCTGGCGACGGAGAACTTAGCGATTGTGAATCCTTTGGCGAATCAGATGACGAATATTTTCCGCCATCGCCAGTAAAAGGAAATGACGAGACGGCTATACTTTCTGATTATAAATACGATGAATCCTCTGAATATGAGAGTGATTCAGAAACTGAAAATGTTCCGACTACATCAAAACCACAGAAAATCCAGAAACAAGTAGGTAGAAAAAGTGAAAAACCGAAAAAAGAAAAAATTAAATGGAGAAATTCGAAACTAGCAGGGTTCAACGAAGAAAATTATAAGTTTTTGGGTTCAAACGATTTTCCGGAATGTATGAGCAATTTGGAAACGCCTGCAGATTTCTTCACATTTTTATTTCCAAATGATTTAATTCAATTAATAGTAGATGAATCAAACCTGAAATCTCTTCAAGATAATATAAACAAACCGGCAAATATTACAGCAAATGAACTAGAAGAGTTCATCGGTATAACTCTTTTTATGTCGTTAGTAAAACTACCTTCTAGTAGACTTTACTGGAATCCAAATGTGTTTCCTACATTTCAATGACAATTCAAAATTTATAAAGCAAGGCTTACCTGGACACGACAAACTTTACAAAGTTAGATCGCTTATCGAAAAGATTCGGCAACAACTTTTGTTCGTTCCCAAAGAAGAATATTTGGCAATTGATGAACAAATTATACCAACTAAAGTCCGACATACACTAAAACAGTATAATCCTAAAAAACCGAAGAAATGGGGATTTAAAAAACTTGTACTAAGTGGTGTTTCTGGATTTTCCTATGATTTTGACATTTTTGCTGGAAGTCAAAGTAATACTATACCTGAAGGTGCACCGGATCTGGGGGTCAGTGGAAATTTAGTTACTAAGCTCTCTGATACCATACCTCGTGATAAAAATCACAAGATTTTGATAACTGGTTTAATAGCCCGGTTTTTCAAGTTTATCCTAAGCCTTGGTTTCTTTGAACACTACGTCGCGGTGAGCGGACAGTTCGTCAATCGTCGCGTTTTGACGATTTTATCCAACCAGAGTATTTAAATGGGAATGGTTTTCTTGAATCCGCTTAGCTGAGCAGGACGGCGTCATGCCGCTGATTTGTCGCGAAGAGTCGGTTGATATCTGTTGAGTTTGATATCAGCGGAATCGTCGGCGTGTGCGGAGACTATATTGTTATTAATTTTAAAACAATGAGTGACAACTTCACACATACAGACGACATCATGACTTTATTTTTAGGTTTATTGGAAATTAGGTCCTTTATGAAACTCAACACGAATACAAAAAGATCTGTAGAAAATCTAAAATACTCCCTAAATTTGGTTTCATTTCCAAAAAGCCTCCGCTGCACAGTGATATTAAAGGTACCTTCTGTATCGCGACACAAAAACAACTCATCCACTGGCTTATTGGAAACTTTGACGGTTGCAATTGCCAGTTCCCTTTGTTCTTCCTCTTCCAACAATAATAACAACGCAAACAATTTATTTGCACCCATTTTAGTATCTTTCTTTTACATTCATAATACATAAACAGCACGTACAGACATAGAGAAAGTATCATTTTCTATATTTTTTAACAAACCACCTCGGGCGAAAATTGCTGTTCTCAGCGGTCGACGGACTGTCCGCTCACCGCGACGGAGTGTTCAAAGAAACTAAGGCTTTAGTAAAATTGGTTTGTTGCCACTAGGGACTGCTCGACTAAATAGGGTAACAGATTGTGAAATACCTTCCGAAAAAGAAATGAAACAACGAGGTCGGGGCACTATAGCCGAAAAAGTTGCCACAATAGACGATGTAGACGTATCTTGTATTTGTTGGTATGACAATAAAAGAGTAATTTTGCTGTCTACCTATGTAGGCAGCTTGCCCCTAACAACTAAAACACGTTTTTTTAAAAAAGAAAATAAATATAAAGAAATTGCATGTCCCAAGGCAATTGATATATATAACCAGCATATGGGAGGCGTCGATTTACTTGACTCGATACTGGGTTTATACAGAATTCATATACGTTCAAGAAAGTGGTATAAAAGAATATTCTTTCACATATTAGATATGTGCGTTGCAAACGCTTGGTTATTATGGAGGCGCAAAACTGAAGATGGCGACTACCTATCATTATTTGCTTTTAAACAGGCAATTGCTGAACATATGTGCAATGTAGGAAAGAATCATCTGCAGAAAAAAAGAGCCGAGTTGGGACACCAACAAAGGATGGTGCTACTCCAGCAAAAATAAGGAAAAAACCTCTCATGCGTCATGACTATCCACTAAATTCTGTCCGATTAGACTCAATTGGACATTTTCCCATGTGGAAGCAAAGTAGAGTGCAATGTTACAATAATTGTAAATTTAGATCTTTTGTTTTTTGGAGAAAATGCCAGGTATACTTGTGCCTAAATAAGGACAGGAATTGTTTTTTAAAATTTCATTTATAAGTAGATTGCATGAAAATCCATATATGACTGAGCCCTAATTTTCCTTTTTTAGTTTTTTTCATGTGAAGCCATTTATGGCATTGAAATTTTTTTTCTGTAAAAATAACATGTGAGGATTTTTTTTTTTGTAAATTTTAATAAATTAGACCAATAAAAACAATATTTGATGATTTGATATTTTTTTTTTATAAAAAAAGTAATTCATGCAATAGAGGGCTAAATGACACTGAAACTAGCAGCCACTCTACTTTTTTAGTTAAGGAACTAAAATAAGTTCTTAACACAATACGAATTTAATAAAACTTTTTATAGGGTCTTCTAATAATCATAGAGTAGCCATATTATAAATTCATATTTACACTAAAAAAAAAAAATAAAGTTGGAAATTCCTCGATTTTGGAAAAATATTCATAAATTCTAAACGCATAATACGAATTTAATGAAACTTTTTACAGGGTCTTCTAATATCCTTAGAAATACAATAATCATAGAGCAGCCAGATTATAAATTCATCTTTACACTAAAAAAAAATAAAGTTTAAAATTCCTCGATTTTGAAAAAAGATTCATAAGTCCTAAACGCATTATACGAATTTAATAAAACTTTTTATAGGGTCTTCTAATATCCTTAGAAAGACAATAATCATAGAGCAGCCATATTATAAATTCATCTTTACAGTAAACAAAAAAATTAAGTTGAAAATTCCTCGATTTTAGAAAAATTATGTATGTATTATGCATTTAGAACTGATGAATCTTTTTCCAAAATCGAGGACATTATTTTTTTTAGTGTAAAGATGAATTTATAATCTGGCTGCTCTACGATTATTGTCTTTCTAAGGATAGACGACCCTGTAAAAAGTTTTATTACATTCGTATTATGCGTTATTATTTTTTACATTATATTTAAATTAGTTTTATGTTGTTTTTTACCTTTATATTTCTGGCGATGACTGTTGTTACAATTGAAACGTTAAAATGAATTTTATATATAGTTTTGTTATTAAGTTTAATATTTATGTTAAATTTTGTACCTTCCTATATTTCAGAAAATCTAAATTGATTGATTTTCTTTTGTTGTCTTTGCTGCCTTTATTTTTATAAATGACACAAAATTGTATTTGTTTTTTATCTGACTAAATAATAAAACTTATTTTTATGTAGGACATTTTTCTATCCGTTTCATGTCTAAAAGTAAACATCAAAAATTTTTTTTTTTTTAAATTTGCATTTGTACATTTTTTGAAAGTAGGGGAGGTGTGGGAGACTTGGTACCCTGGGAGAGTTGGGACAGTGTTATTTTGTTGCGTTAGGTTGCCACTGTGAGAGTGACCTTCAAACTGTTCAATCATTATTGTGTTTACATTCAGTCAAGCAGCGAACGTCGTATGTATATGGTGTTTTCTAAGTCTCAGATAGTGAAAAACGTTTTTGGTAATTAAAAGTAAGTTTTTTTTTTTTGTATATTTTGCTTTATTTTTTAATAAATTATTCTTAAACAATAAAAGTTAATTGTGCATGTTGTTGTACCGTATTTTGTCTTTAAAATGTGATCTGCTGTTGTCAATTTACTCTAACCTAACAATATTTGGCGCTATTTTTAACTTCACCAGTCCGTCAGGGAGAGTTGGGACAATATTATAAGGGAGAGTTGGGACGTCCCAAGTCTCTCTGATTAAAGGTATATTCTTCTATTTTCCGTGTTGTAGGCACATTATTATTTTTGTTTTCTTATTTTCAGCTATGCCATTACGATACAAAAAAAAGGAAAAAAACCGTAGTATTCCCACGCAAATTATACAGCAGGCCGTGGAAGAATATAGAAATGTTGGAGGGCTAAGAAAAATTGCTAACAAGTATGACATACCAAAGACATCCCTAGCTAGGTACCTTAAGGCAGGCAACTTGGACAAACTTTTGGCAGTACATGAAAGTTATGGGTCGTCCTATCGACAATCTCAAATTTTTACCATTGAGGAGGAACAAATGCTTGTTAAATATATTATAACGGCCGCAAGAATGCACTATGGTTTGAGTAAAAATCAAGTTCGTCAATTTGCTTATCAATTCGTCCAGGCTAATGGAAAAAAAATACCGAAATGTTGGGAAAAAATGAGAAAGCTGGAGAGGATTGGTGGAAAGGTTTTAAAACTAGGAACCCAACTCTATCAGTGAGAAAGCCAGAGGCAACTAGCCTTTCCCGCTGCACTAGTTTCAATCGGAAAAATGTTAATGAATTTTTCGATAACTTGGATGAAGTGGTAACCAAATATAAATTTCCGCCCAGTGATATTTATAACTGTGATGAGTCAGGACTTACTACAGTTCAAAATCCAGGTAAAGTGGTCGCTGAAAAGGGTGCAAAACAAATTGGTCAAGTTGTCTCTGCAGATAGGGGAAGTTTAGTGACAGGTTTATTTACAATTAATGCGACAGGTCAGTGTTTTCCTCCTTTTTATGTATTTCCAAGGGTAAATTTTAAGGAATACATGCTGGCAGGCTCCTACCCAGGATCTGCTGGTGCAGCACACCCATCAGGATGGATGACCGATGTTAATTTTGCAATATATTTACAACATTTTTTCAAATACGCTAAACCAGCCGTCGACAGACCTGTTCTTTTGATATTTGACAATCATGATAGTCACATATCAATAGAGTCTCTACAGTTTTGCAAACAAAATAATATCGTCTTACTAACTTTCCCCCCTCATTGTTCACACAAACTGCAACCGTTAGATATTGGAGTCTACGCACCATTAAAAAAATATTATAGTGCAGAGTGTGATTCATGGATGAAAAGAAATCCTGGAAAGACAATTAGCATTTATGAAGTAGCCTCGCTCTCATCCCAAGCAATGATAAAAGCTTTTACACCGACAACAATTCAAGCAGCGTTTAAAAAAAGCGGAATTTTTCCCTTTGACCGTAATATTTTTAATGACGTGGATTTTCTGGCATCTGCTGTTACCGACAGGCCTAATCCAGAGGTATATGATGCAATTAGTTCAGAAGCGAACCTAGAAAACACAAACATTACAATTGACACCAATATTGAGGCAATTCCGTCCACTTCAAATGTTAGCGACTCAATAGATGTCATGAAGAAAAAAGTGCTGGTAACGCCTGAACAACTACGTCCGCACCTAAAAGCAGCAGCGCGCAAGAAACAAAATAAAGGGCGTAAGCCTGCTAAAACGCGAATTTTAACAAATACCCCGGTTAAAGATGCAATAATTGCTGAAATTGAGACTCGCCTTAAAAAAAAGGAAAGATGTGTATCTGTGAAAGCCATAAAAAAAGTAACAAAACGGCTAGTTTCATCATCCAGCGAAGATGAAAAGCATGATCCTATAGTTTATGCAGAATCTGGAGACTCTGATTTAGAATTCTCAGAGGAAGAAGAAGAAGAAGAAGAAGAGAGCAATGATTCGCATCAAGAAGATATACATTTTTTGGAATCAGATTTTGTAATTGTTAAATGTACAGGAAAAAAAAGCGAAATACATTATGTGGGAAAAGTTGTTGGGTTAGCAGAAGATTATTTAGAAATAGAATTTCTAAGAAGGAAACATAAAACATTTCAATTTGATTTTCCGCCAGTTCAGGAAAAGCGGACGATTGCAATTGAAGATATTTTTAAAAGATTGCCACTTCCTATACAAAAGCCTGGTACTGCTCGTATCCAAAATATGGTAGAGTTTAAGGCAAGATATTTTCAAAATATTAAAGATTTACGATAAAATATCACGTTAAAATATTTAATATTATGATTTTTTTTAATAATCACTTATTTTGTTTTATATTACCATTGTAGATACTTTTTTGGTAAAGTGTTGTTTTGAATTAAAATAGTTTTTTGTCTTTTTGGTCTTTATTTGGGTTGTCCCACCTCTCCCCATCACCGGACCCAACTCTCCCTTATAAAAGGGAGATATGGGACAAAATCATTACTTTATAAAAAAATTTATAGAAACATTAGTTGTTTAAAAAAATTAACAAAATGCTGTACATAGTTGGCAATTAAATGAAGGTATACGTACGTATTTTTATTTTATTAAAATAATAAAAATTAATCATTACAAAAATTTAAAACCAAAAAATGTCCCAATTCTCCCACATCTCCCCTACCCAGGTAGCAAGCGTACGTCATAATGACGTACTTAATTGGTGATTTTCTGACGATGGACGTCTTCGACGCAAAAATGACGTCTTACGGACGTCATTAATGTCGTTCTTCACATGACGTCACTATGACGTATTTTTTTGGTCATTAATGTAACCAATAAATAGAACTTAAAAAAATCTAGATAATTATTATGTCTCATAAAATTCCAACTTTACAGCAGATATTTCGGAAAATTAATACAGTGGTTTTGATAGAGTCAAAATTACCTAGGTACTTCAGTCACTTTAAAAATATAAAATAATCAACAACTTGGTGGATAATTATATATTGTCTAATCACGTTTATATATCCCGTGACATGCTCTCAGACTATAGAATAGTATAAGAATGGTATAAGTAATTCCTATATAATTTGTAAAATTTTATAATTTGCATATTATACAAATTGCTAATTGTTTTCGTTATTTTATAATTCCCGCGAAAGTAACACGCAGTCGTTAGAAATCGACACGCTCGCATCGGATTGGTTAAAGTTTAAGCGACATGGCATGTCCGCCGTCTTCCTTCTTCTGTGAACAACGAACAACAGCAGGTGACAGGTGATGCCGTGAGCCATGCCGTTTTTTAAGCTTAAGCGTTAGTTGGTGTTTTTCAAGTTGTTATGGATGCCGCGTGGCGTGGCGTCTCTAATTATATGATTATTCTTAGTAATTTTATTATAAAAATAAGTTTTTTTGAATTCGGTTGTGCCAGTGGTTACAGTGTTTAGTTAGAATGTTTTCTGTAGTCGAGTTTAATGAACAATCTGGAGGCGGGCTTGCAATTGTAAACTCTAACTGGTTTACCCCACTTAAAAAGGAAGTATTTTGGCCGCCTTACAAAGACAATAAAGCTTATATTAAAGCGGTAAAACAAGGAGAAGAAATTTCTGATAAATGGAAATTATTTTCTATATCAAAATGTTATTACACTACAGGTACGTACTAGGTAGTTTGAGATTATTGATTTCTAAAAATTATATTTAATGGTGAGTGAGAATTGAATTAAAAAATATGGAAAGAACCCTAAATAAACTTGTATTGCTGAATTTCTTCGATAACACAGTGGTGAATTTTTATCAAAGAAATAATTAAATTTTCGACAATTTATTATAGGTACTTTTAATTTTAGCCATATGCCTCATAATATGGGTTTTCTTGCAGATGATTATGAAAAAGCCCATAAGAAACTAAAAGTTGCAGAAGTAACTTCCGATTTACAATCAGATTTAGAAGAGGAGTTTTCAAAATATTCCTCAGGAAAGAGAAAGGTGTCCCGACCTCTTCGTTTTGAGGAGAAGGAAGACACAAACGTTAAAAGAAAAGTGTCTAAATCTTCGAACTATGATGATGAAGAAGAAGAAGAGCCAAATCGGAATTTCCTTCCAAGGCCACCACATATAAAGGGAAAGAATATATTTGAAGGTAAGATATGGAAAGGTTGAAACTATACCTCATTATTATGCTAATTTTAAAAAGAAACTTATAGAAAATAACTTACAATCATTATTTTTATTGAGAATGAAGAAATTGTGTTTAGTATTAAGAGAAACTAGACAAACTTAAGTTGACTTTTCTACCATAAAATATTTCTCACCTAATAAAAAGTGATGCAGATTTAACATTCCTGTTTGTGTATAAAATTATTATTATTATAAAATTATATTCATACTATTTTAGTGTTTGAGGTTATTAATTAAAATGCATATTAATTTCACAGAAACTTTAGAGTACACACCATCCTGTGGAGAGAAATCACGTAGTAGTGATGTACGTAGTGCGTATGAAGTTTCACCTCAAAGTTTTTCACAGTCTACAACATCAAAAGGTTCTGTTAAAATAACAAGTGGCACTACCCGAGATTTCCTATTGCAAGAAGCTACTCCTCGGCGAATTTCACAGCCCTCCACGTCTAAAGATTTGAATAACTGTGTAGAAGGTCAAGGAAAATCAGGTAATAATTTTAATTATTCATCCAATACTTAGCAAAACTTACTTTTTTCAAATTAAAGGGTTTTCGGGTCAATTTCTAAAAAAAAATACATACATGTTGTATTTAGATTATGTGGTTTTTCATTGTTTTAGTGTTTGAAATACTTTTAACGAATTTGCTGGAGATTAAGCAACAAAATAAAAAAATTCTAATTATTTTGGAAAAGAAAAATACTGACAGAAACCCACAGTCTTTACCTGAAGATTTAAATATAGAATTTCCCATTAGAAGTAGTCATGATCTAGATAAATTTGAAGCATATCTTTCAAATCAAGAAAATGTTGAAGGAGCTAAAGCTGTTGTAAGTACATTTTATTAATTAATTATATTTTGGATGTATTATTATACTTAATAGTGTCATTACACTACATTTACTACTGAATTCCCAGCTAGTGCATAAAAAACCCCATCTATGTTAATAAGCTGAAATTCCGGGATATTTAAACTTGCATGCAACATACTTTTAACGTAACCCTTACATCCCTGTAACTACCGAATGTCTGCTTTAGCAAGACATTTATAGAACATCTCAGATGTTCAGAAGTGAAGTTTGAAAAACGACACACTAGCACTTTTACAGTACTTTTCCCTGAAAGTTGTTCTTTATAGATTTTATGTGAGTTAGTTATACAGAATTAAACAGTGTGTCCACGGATAGACTTAACTGTACTTTTAATTGAGAAAACGTACCATTTACCAAATATATTCAAACGCATTATTCATTTATAAATTCTCAAGAAAAGACAAGAAAAATTACAATAATTGACAATATTTTTTTAGGTTATTTAATTTGTCATAAATGAAAGCTACGTTCACAATGCGCTGTTTACTAAACTTCTCTTGGATACATTTTTATAGAAAATTACATAATTACCTTTTGCTAACATAATAGGTAACAAATAGAAGTTTTGCGAGGTTTTATTTCTCTCAAAAACCTCTCATGAACGTTACATTTATGTTGTTATGTTATTACGTTGCCTTAAAACAACATCGCCAAAAGGCTTGGGAATGTTATGTGCTAGCTGGGTTAGTTCTTGACACATGTTACTATCTTCAGAAGAAAATAAAGATAGTCTTTGACATGTCTTTCTGTAATATTTGTACCATCCTATGAAGATAAGGACCAATTTTTATCTCCTTTAGAAGATTGTAAAAAATGGTCCTTGAAGTAGATGTGGAGAAAAGTAATTTGGTTCGACCAAATAAAAGGTGTAGTGTGAGTGAATATATATGTATGCAAACATATTTTTTTTTTAGGTGTTATATTGGTCTTCCCTTGGAGGTAAAGATTGTGCTTCAAAAACAAACAGAATCTTGAGAGAAGTACTGCATGACTCAGTAGCAACGAAATACAATTTTTATGGAAGACACTCAAAGAAACCTTTTTCGGAATTAAAAATCAATTCAGAAATTATTAGTAAGTATATTTATATGTACTTATTCTTATAAACATCTTAAGCTGAATATAATCGATTCAGTTTAAGATGTTAATAAGTATTACAGTTTACCTTTTATTATTTGCTATTTTCATGATATTTTAGAAACTAATTTCATTTTTATTTGACATATAGATGCAATAAAGCCTATTTATAAAATCTTAAAAAAAATTATAGAACTTGCAAAGGGTTCTGCTATAATAAAAGTAAAACTATACTTACAAAATAAATAATGTGTAGGTATACACATATTATCAATTAACAAGATTGTATTTTGTGTAAATTACAATTGCCAGTTGTAGCTTTAGGCACTGTAAAAGTAGTAAAATAACATGGTGAACTACATTTGTACAGTCAAGCTTCCATATTATATACTAAAATATTTTGTATGTTTTAGATGCTGTTAAAATATCTTGTAATACTTCTACAAGGGAGATTGAAAACATTATAAAAATTTGGTTGAAGCATGCTCCTGAGAGATTAAGAAAACAAGAATTAAAAGAAGTACGAAATCGTAATAATTAATCAAGGTTATTTTTTTTATAATACCTAATTAAGTTACATATTTTTATTTTATAAAATGTCGACTAGTCGAAAAGTATATTATAAAGAAGTTGTAGGAGATCGTCAAATGTACAGAAGGGTTGCTAATGAAGTTAAAAGTACAGTGGAAATGTTAAAAAGCATATCTGAAAATAATTCAGATGTATCTGTAACTCAATTTGAAGATAATGAAACATATACTAGTTTATTAAATGATAGTAGTCATAGTTCAAATCAATCTTTATTTTCAAATTCTAATGTCTTTAGAACAAAAAATAATACTGAAATTGAAATGAATTCTAATTGTGTAACTTATTCACCTGGAATGGATGCTTCTAGTAGTAGTAGAAGTAGTAGTAGTGAGACTACTGCTTCTAGTAGTAGTAGAAGTAGTAGTGAAACTAATAATTTGCAATCTTCTTTAAGAGAATGGGCCCTTCGGAACAACATAACACTATCAGGTATTTCAGAATTATTACATATTTTATCTCCACTTGATTCAACACTGCCTTTAGATGCCCGTACTCTATTACATACTCCCGTTTCAACAGTTGATCATAAACAGTTAGATAATGGCGAATATATTCATTTTGGGTTAATTAAAATATTAAAACGAATTATAGTAAAAATACCTTTTGGAAATTCAGCTCCCATTATTAGAATTTCATTCAATATAGATGGAATACCTGTGTTTTCCAACAACAATTCACCAATTACTTTTTGGCCAATACTAGGACTTATTAAAAATGTAGGTATTAAACAAAAATGTTTTGTCATAGGTGTTTTTTGTGGTAAAGACAAGCCAAAACCGATAAATATTTTTTTAAACGATTTTGTTCAAGAGGTTTCATTTCTTGTAAACAATGGTTTACATTGTAATGGCAAAATGTATTCTGTAAAAATTCATAGTTTCATTTGTGACGTTCCAGCAAAGGCATATCTTAAGTGTATTAAAGGACACAATGGTTATTCTTCCTGTGATAGGTGTACAGTTGTTGGGCAGTATGTTAACAGGCATATGATTTTTGATAGTATGACTTCCCAAAAACGTACAAGTGAATCATTTTTGCAACAAAGAGATGGTGACCATCATAATTCTGTTTCACCATTAGTCTCTTTACCAATTGATTTTATTAACATATTTGTAATTGATTACATGCATTGCGTTTGTTTAGGTGTGGTAAAAAAAATGATTAATTCTTGGATACAAGGTAAATTTTATAATGTCCGTTTAAAAGCAAGGGATATTACTCTTCTTTCTGATTATTTAACTAATTTATGTACTGCTCTTCCCGATGAGTTTAACAGGAAGCCTTCTAAAATAACAGAAATATCGTATTGGAAAGCAACTCAGTTTAGAACGTTTTTGCTTTACCTAGGTCCCATTGTATTAAAAGAATTTATGGATATAGCTGTGTATGAACATTTTCTATTATTACAATCTGCAATGTCTATTTTATTGTCTAAGAGACATTTAAATATGCTAGGTTGTGATTTAGCAGAGAAATTTTTATGTATTTTTGTTAAACATTCTAAGCATCTCTATGGTTTAGATTTCCTTGTTCATAATGTACATTCGTTGATTCATATAGTTGATGATGTACGACTCTATGGGGTTTTAGATATTTCAGCCTTCCCTTTTGAAAATCATTTGGGGGCATTAAAAAGATTAATACGATCTGCTAATAAACCATTAAAGCAACTTTATCGTCGGTTAATTGAATTAAATCAAATTAATAAAAACGCAGAACCAAAGGATGTTCAATTGAATTCAAATTGGAGGCACAGTCGAGGCCCATTGCTCTCGCGTACAGGCTCTAAACAGTACAACAAAATTTTCTTTCAAAATGTGAAGTTTTGTACTTATTACTATTCACGAAACAATTCTTATTGTCTTTCAGAAGAAAACAAAGTCTTGCAAATACATAATATTTTGGTATACTCTGAAACTAATATCATATTTATTTGTAAACAGTTTCTATCTTACAAATCCTTATTTACTTATCCTTTTGATTCAAGTAATTTGCAAATTTTTGTTGTTGACAATTCATCTGTTCTGATAGAAATAAATATAACCGACATTCTAACAAAGTGTATCGTTTTTCCCCTTAAAGATAACACCTTAGCATCGTTTCCATTGTTGCATAATATCTATACAGCCTAAGTTAATATAAGAAAATATATGCAAAAATACAATAACTATCACATTAATGAATAAATACCAAATAAACCACACATTAGAAAAACAACAATCAATAAATGAGCCGCTGAGAGCCAAAGTGGTATAACTCAATAAATTGCCGATTTTGAGTTATACCAAATTTCCCGTTCTTTTGATCGAAAACAGTAAACTGACAAAGTGGTATAACTCTACTTTGTGAATTTGCTAACAGAGGGCCCTTACATTGTTTTGCCTCCAAACGAATAGCGCTCTCATGAAAGTGGAAGAGTGGTATAACTCAGCGCGCCTACTAAACTCGTTACGATAATCTGTCAAAGTGGTATAAGTCATTTCTGTTCGCGTTCGCCAGCCGTATCGAAGCATTAGGGCATTAATATTTTTTTAACGTCAGATTGTTTATGTTGTTTTTGATAACTTCATTCGTTGTTTTTTGAAAGTATTAACAATTTTAATTTTACTTGATATCAATAGTGATTTCTTACGATTTACGATGAATGCGGAGGTGGAGACTAAAAAAGGGAAGAAAAGAGTAAGACGAGAAGTAGATCACAAGAAGGCCAAATTGAAAATAATGAGAAATAATGGTCAGGAGTATATTACAAACAAAGGTAAAAAAATCCCAGCCAAAGTATTTACTAATAAAAATTGTGGTTGTTCCAAAAAATGTATAGAATTAGTATCAGAAGAGGACAGGCGGGATATCTTTTCAAGATTTTGGAGCATGGGAAATTTTTCGGTTCAAAACACATACCTTTGTGGTCTGATTAGACGATGCCCTGTTCAGCAGCGACGTCCTGACCAGAATGCGGAGGTGCCAAAAGGCCCAAAATCGGTATCATACAAGTATTTCTTAAATGTAAAATCTAACAGTATTATGGTATGCAAAAATTTTTTTTTGGATACCTTTTCTGTTTCTAATGGAAGACTTCAGCGATCTCAAAAGAAAGAAGAGTTAGGAAAATCTCCTGGTGAAGATCTGCGTGGTAAACACCCTTCAGCAAATAAAATGCCCGCAGAAGTGCTCAAAATTGTTAAGCAGCATATTGCGGAATTCCCCTCTTTTGAGAGCCATTATACAAGAGCTCATAATCCCCACAGAAAGTATCTAAGTCCTAATTTGAATATTAGGAAGCTCTATGAACTCTACAAGGAATACGCAGTGCAGAAGGGAATTCCTCCAGAAAAAATTGTCAAAGAAAGTATGTATAGAACTATATTCAATATGGACTTTAATTTGGCATTCCACAGCCCCAGGAAGGATACATGCCAAAAATGCGATAAATTTAAAATAAAAACAGATGTAACTGACGATGGCCCTGAAAAAGAACAATTAAAACTTGAGCATATAATTCACCTAAGTAAAGCTGAGAAAGCAAGAACCTCTATGAAAGAGGATATTGATTTATTCAAAGAACATGAAGATGTTTCGATTTTTTGCTTTGATTTGCAAAAAGCGCTCGCATTTCCTAAACTGTCTACATCCAATGCTTACTACAAGCGAAACATGTATGTTTACAACCTAGGGATCCACGATCTTGTGACGGGTCAAGCTTACATGTACGTGTGGGATGAGACAACAGCATCAAGAGGGTCTCAAGAAATTGGTGCATGCATTATGAAACACGTACGCCAGTATTGCAGGCAATCTTCTCGCATTATTGCGTACAGTGACGCCTGTACTGGTCAAAATCGAAATATAAAATTATCTTTAATTTGGAAAAGAATTGTCCAAGATCCAGGGAACAACATAACTAATGTGGACCATAAATTTATGGTATCCGGGCACTCATTTTTGCCCAACGATCGCGACTTTGGAAATATTGAGACTGCCGCAAAAGGTGCATCAATCTTCTGCCCCACTGATTGGTACCGTGTCATCAAGGAAGCAAGGCAGCACAAAAAATTCATTGTCCATGAAATGACTCAACAAGATTTTTTTTCAACAGAACAGTTGGAAAAGTCTATTACTAAAAGAAAAGTAAATGTAGACAAAGGCAGATTCCTGTGGCTGAATATCCAATGGTTACAGTTTAAACATAACAAGCCACACTCATTGCTATACAAAGAGACTCTCAGCTCGCTAGTAACTTTCTCTGAAGTCGATTTAAGCAAACGGACTAGAGGAAGACCCTGTTCGCAGCTTCCAGCTAACCTAAAACTTCTATACGATGCCCCAAGACCAGTACCACCGGCAAAAAAAGAGACATGCTGGAACTGCTGCAATGGATTCCACCAAACCACCATGAGTATTACCGTAATTTAAGGTCTTCTGAAGATGTCGCAGACGCTGGCCCTCTGTCTGATTATGGCGAAGAAAGCGACGACGAGTAAATTTTATGTTATTCATCACAGAATTATTGAATTTTTGAATAAACAATTTACAAAATTGTTTTTCTATTATTACCAGTTCAAACTCATCAAGCAAACCCAGTTTGAGGAAACAGAACTAAAATATGTTTTGTGAAAAGTGGTATAAGTCATTGACTTGTACCACTTTTCCTGTGCTTTCGCCTGAAGGTCACGCGGAAAAACGGTATTTAATTATAAGAACGTAATTTTATGCCATTCGAAAGAATAGCAGTCATTAATTTTGGTTTAGTAGGAAATTCGACATATTATATTGAATGAACGTATCAAATTTTTTTCCAAAAAAACAATCTGATAATTTATGGATGGCTAAAACGCAAATGTCAAGATTTCTCAAATCGTTAAAAATGGAACATATACCACTTTGGTTCTCAGCGGCTCAAATAATTATAACAAAAATTCGAAAGAGCTTTTTTAAATAACGAACTATAGT